GGATGATGGATTTTACACCTCAATACGAGAGATTACGTTTTTTTCCAATAGGCTATATTACTCATGTTTTTGTTTATATTTATATATATATATATATAAAAAACATTTCCTCATGGCAAAAGTTTTAAAAAGACACTAGCTGTCACGTACTCAGTAGTTTCCCAATCTCATTGTTATGTACTTCCGGGTTAAAGATTGAAACGCCTTAACTACTATGTGCAATATTTAGCTCCCAAAAATTTTTAGCGTCACCAATGAAACTTAGCATGTTAGATATATTTTAACTCATTCTATAAAAAGTGACGTTCCTCAATACAAAATTAGCGTACCTAAATGACTTGCATCGTGCACGAAAGAATATTAGCGTGCTCGATTTAATCTAGACATTTTTGAAGCACTTCAAAGAACATACGGCCGTGTTTTTAACGCACTAGGCGCACATTGACGCTGCAGATCGACGTTCTCTCAAAACACCACATGGTCTTGCAACGTTTCTAAGGGTTTGGAATGCATATGTTACGTCGCCCGGTAATATTGACTTAGAAACGTTACTCCACTCCAGACCTGGTACCCATGCTGAAGTATAACTTTTCAAAAAACACGTACTTATTTTTGTGAAATTATACCCCTTTTCAAGTGCAGAAATAGAAATAGATACCCAATATACATACTAAAATCATACTGTTTCCAAGTTGAGGTAACATGAATTCATGAGATTCCCTTTTTTCACACTTTATTTATATATTCTAAGTTACATCCGGTACACGCGTATAAGCGTCAAATATAAGCGTTTTTTTACTTCAGCTTGCGTACCATATTTTATTCAGAGACCCCCACCCCTAAAGACTCAACACCAACACAACGGCACTAGACATTATCTACAAATACGATTTCAAAAACATTACCTTGCAAAACATAATCCGCGATAAAATGGTTCGTATTTACGTTTTTACTGAAGTCTGACATTAATTATAAATAGTTCGGATGTCCCATACGTTTTTTTCCCACTTTTTGTAGATCGGTTTCAAATGAAACAACTACGGCCGTGCGTAGTGAGGTGATTGACCACGAAATTGAAGGCTGCCTGTGGCAGAGGTACTATTGCGAAAAGCGCAAAGACTTATTCGAAGGAGATTGGTCGGCGTCCACACCTATCTGACGCATATCGCGCAAGGTGTGCCGTGAGTTTGTTCGAAACTTCGAACGTTTCGAAGTCAATCGTCGATTGGCACGTATTTTACGGATATATTAAATCGTTTCAGGGGCCTGTTTACTAAATAATGATAAATGAAACTTGTAAGAACAAACTGGCCCCAAAATTACGCAAATTTGCAATAAGTTTACGATGCTAGTGTCTGGTTCGGAAGACGTTCTACGCGTGATTGTATTGCGTTCAAGGACGTTCTATTTTCGAACTATTGAAACCGGAAATTACGCGACTACTTTCTAACTTCATACACAAATTTGATTATCGTTATTATGTGTCAGTTTTCGTTGTTTCAAAGATTGGATTATTTGTGACAATAATATTTCAATCACTAAACAATATTTCATTAAAATATGTGATTAAAAATTATCGGGGAAAAATGATCAAGTTATGTGTATAAGCACTAGTGTAAAGAGGTGGCAGGTGTAAGAAGATTAGCCCTGTGTGTGCAACATATATACATTTGGTTATTCGGGATTATTTCAAAGTTGAGTTTGAGCTGTCTCTCGAATTTAGCTATTTTCACCGGCTCTTTGACCGGCTTTCCACACCATGTAAAGCCCATATAAACGCATGGTACAGTGGTGCGCGTTTTAGCAACATGGACCGTCTTGTGACGTGGCTCCACCCCCGGGGCAGTTGATTCATGACTGGGTAGGAAGCGAACTCCGCACAGTTCGATGCGCGTTACTTATCATCACTGCACAAAGCAGCTTTGCATAAAACTCATTTGCATATTCGAATACTAGTATGTTCGAACTACAAGACCCTGTCGGTTAACAAAGTTATGCGTAAGTCACTTGGTTACTTTAATCACTTTAATAAGACGTTTCACGCCCCGTCTACGAATAAAATGTTCAGTTAACTAGATTAAAATATACATGACTTGCGCTAGAAGAGTGCAATCTTTTCCTACATGCCAAATCATTAGTTTCTACAACTATAAATGACTAACTTTATAAACTTACTAGAACCTGTGTGTTCTATTGCTGTTAGACGCGCAAAATCGAACCCGTTCAAGCCAGAAATAGTATTGAAATATTCACCAGAATACAAGATGAACGGAAATGTTAGGAAAACTCTTTTCAGTGAAATTAGTCTTTAATGTTTCTTTCCCAACTATATACGATAACAGAACCTTTTTTTCTTCCAAGTTTTAGTGTATCACGTGCGCCATTTCACTACAGTAACATTACCTTGCACAACATAGTCCGCGATAAAATGGTTCGTATTTACGTTTTTACTGAGGTCTGACATTAATAAATAGTTCGGATGTCACATACGTTTTTTTTTACTTTTGTAGTACGTTTTCAGATGTAACAGGTACAAGAAAATGGCAGTGCGTAGTGAGGTGATTGACCACAAAATTGAAGGCTGCCTGTGGCAGAGGCACTATTGCGTAAAGCGCAAAGGCCTATGGGAAAAAGATTGGGTAGGAAGCAATATCCCCAGGCCAGGGGGGGGGGGGGTGCATGACACGATTGGTTGAAATAATCGTCTCATTTGCATAAATTAATATTAATGAGCAATGAAAAACTCGTTTTTTCAGTAATATTGTGCCAAAATGCTTTCCGATAGCATACATGTTAGTTCTAAATTGACTGATTTTATCGTTACGAGCTGAAAAAATAATCGGAAAAATGATGTAAAGGTATTTTTTGAGACACGTTTTCGATCAGACTCCAGCTAACTGTTGAAAGTAAGCATAGGTTTTCTCTTTACCATGATCATAGCAAGTTACGAAATTCATGAAGAATGCAGAGGCACGTTTAAATTTCACTCTAGTACTATTGCTCAAAATTGCTCAAAATGTTTTCGGTGACTTTTATCAGTGACAAGTTACCTAATTAAGTATGCATTTCGAGAAACCACAGTGTGTGTGCATGCGCAGTTTGAAATGGAACAGTTTTGAACGCAATAAAATCACGCGTAGAACTCGGGCTCCAGCAAGAAATTGTGGCGTCAAACTGGTTGTCGGTTGAATTGTTTTGCAATAGACAATAATTTTGGTGCCTGTAGTTGTCTATGAAATGTTTCTAAGTTTTGTTGAGGATTATTCTGTAAAGAAATTGCTGAAATTATTTCATCTGTTCGTAAACGGGACGTTGTTGCTTTGACGATGGCTACCGACGACTGACGGCGAAACGTTTCATTCAGATCGGATGGCGCCCTCTCGTGCCACCCCCCGCACCACGCGATCTTATGCTTGTCGTTGATTGGTCGATGCGTCACAGTGGTACTTTCAAAGACGCGCACCAAAACATTGCAATGCAGTGTTCGATTTTCGAACGCAACGAAAGCGTGCGCGTTGTTTGTAGATTCTAACTGTTTTCACAGTGAGAAGCTCATATTTTAACTTCCTTGGCACAAACGGAGTGGCAATACAACGTGTTCGCTGTCAATACCACGAAGTGCTTTCCTTTCTTCATATGTCTTCGCCTAGCGATCGACAGGGCTGTCAGCTTGATGAACCGAGTAACACCTTAGTAACCGTTATTCCGCGATGAAATTATTTTCTTTTGTAAATTATAACTATTTCAACGTTTTCAGTGTGTCTACGACAAAATCATTGTCAGCTATCGACGAAATATTTTAAAACTTATTTTCCAGTAGGAATAAATCAACACGAAAGCCATCCAATAACAAAAATACGCAAATGACACACGTAGTAAAAGTCTTGTGGTGTTTCACCACAAAATGGCGGTGTGTGGTGGCAGAGATACTTTCGGTGATCTAACCGCAAGGAAGTCTGGGAAGGAGAATGGGTAGGAAGGTGCCCCTGAGTGCTGAAAAGTGTGACCATTTTCATACCTGGATAGTGGCAAAATCTGTAATCATATTTATACCAAAGTACCATTTCTGTCATCACTGTTTATTCTAAATAAGTTTCACTGAGGAATGTGTGCTCTCTTCTATTCCGTGTTAAATCTCTGTCTAAATTTGTTTAATTTCCGAGTTGCTGTATATGTAGATCTGAGCCCGGGATCTGAGGTGGATATATTCGCTCATATACGGACCCATAAGTATACCAAATCGGAAAAAAATATTACCGATATTTATACCAGATGTACATTACTTAATGTACCTCTGTTTATCTTGACCAGAAATAAGACCGACCTAAATCCAAAAAACGAGACCCATTTCAGGGGCAGTCCCCATTAGGCTAGAGGATACGTTTAAACATTGTCGTCTATTAAAATGTTCCTCTATGACATCGATCAGTGGCGGATCCATCAAAATGTATTGCGGGGGGGGGGGGCAAGCTTCGCTTAACATTACGGAGCGAAGTCGCAGAGGAGCTATGCGTAATCCAGATGATATGAATCGTCATGCGTTGGGAGGGGGACATGCTCCTCCCCCTGGATCCGCCACTGACATTGATAAAGAAACGTATAACTATTTTGAATAAAACAACGATTGCTAAATATTATCCACGCTGTACTTTGGTGTTCTGCGGCACAGCATCGCGTGTCGAACGCGGAATGCGTTCCACGCTCTTCGCGATAAAATCCGCAGGTGGATTCTACGTCCGTCTAATTTTCTTTCCGTTGACTTCCCCTAGTGTTTATCTATACATATCACATCAGTGTATCGATCCACGTTTTAAACCCAGTTTAATGTTTTAATAGTGTGTATGATTTTGGTGTAAAACGCTCGTCACTCGTGCGCGGTCGTTTTCCTTCGTAACGCGGTAATAGTTTCTAAGCAACTGAGTTCCATTTCGGTTTCAAAAAAACAAAAACATCGCCGGACTAGCAGTGTACCAAACGTACTACATTTCCCACACAGAAAAATGTCGCTGGATTCATGCTATAGCCGGGAATCCAACTACGATGAGCAATCGATTGATTCCGATGTTTCCGACGAAAATTGGGTTCGCTGTGACTATGATTTTCACAAATTTGTTCAAATTTTTACTGAGAGCTCGATCTTCAACGGTTTTATCATGACAACCATCATGCTCAATGCGATGTTCATGGCGTTCGAAACTGACATCGACATCAAAGCGAATGCAACCCTCCTGTTTATCATCGCGGACGACATTTTCCTCGGTATCTACACGGTTGAATTTATTCTAAAAATCTACGCAGAACCAGTCCGTTATTTTTACAGTAGCTACAATATTTTTGACTTCATTGTCTTGATCATTTCGTATTTTCCTGCTATATTTTCGGGGGCCGGCGGTGGAGACAGTGGGGTAGACTTTATCCGTGTCTTGCGCGCGCTGCGTGCGTTGCGTACGCTACGCACCGTGTCTTTTATTCGTGGTCTACAGGTGAGTTCGACTTTGTATGCCGTATGTATGACTATTTAATTCACTATCATATGTGCAGGTATTAACAAAGAAATAGTATACTGTGTGGCAACATATAACTTCGAGTGAAGCGCTCCTTTTTGGAGCGCTGCAGCCAAAGTCAACACCGCCCGAAGAAGGCCCATTCTAATCACCGAATCACGAGTTGAATGCGACAACTGTCTATTTCCGGTATATAAAATGGTGAAAGTTTTACTCAAAATTGCAGTTCGTATGTTTAAGTATATGGGGGTCATTCCATTAATTAGTTTCATCTGATAAATAAATTTACTTACAAATGTTTCTTCGCCAATGTTCATTCCGTGTTATATCACGTGGACTTCGCGATTTGTTGCTAACGTAAGTCAAGAATACCAACTTCACTTTTTTTTAATTTTAATACGGACCTTAGAATGTAGTCGCCATTTTTGCCGAAATCTATTGTAGCTAAACATTGTGCTCACAGTACTGCGCCCCCAACGTGTTACTTTTGTTTTTCTCCTCAGGTTTTAGTGACGGCTTTGCTCGATACAATCAGGAAGTCGGTACTCAACGTGGTGCTACTGCTTCTGTTGTTGATGTTTCTCTTTGGCATTGTGGGATACTATTTCTTCGGTTCAAGCGACAAAGAGCACTGGGGAGGTCTAGGGCCAGCAATGTTGACTCTATTTGCCTACGTCACGGTAAGAAACAATAATCTACTAACATTTCGTAGACCCAGAAGCTGAATATCACGCATGCAATTTTACGTTACTCCAAAAAACGGTATGCTCGCGCATGCGAAACGCCGTAGAGTTGACTACCGGGAAAGTGGTCTATTCTATGCTTTTATGAAATATTAAAAAAAAATAAACGTTTTTCGTTACTTTAACGTTGACGTCATTCGTGTTATTTTATCAGGTCGATGGATGGACTGATCTACAGCAAAGCTTGGATGACAAAGGGTTGACCGGAAGTAGATTTTACACTATCTCATTCATATTTCTGGGCCACTTCATTTTTACAAATATTTTTATTAGTGCGATTATTATGAATATTCATGACGCGACGGAAGACGATCGAGAGGAGCAGATACGGGAACGAGTGATGGTAAGAACAGCCGGTGTTCGCGTGTGTGTGTGTGTGTGTGTGTGTGTGTGATACGATGTTGTCTTTGACACTGGGTAACATTTTACGATCGTGATGTTGGAATATATATATATATATAAATAGAATGCAATTCCGAGGATATGATGACGCATTCTATCTCACATAACTAACGCTCGGTCATTTCCTACGGTTATTTCACTTAAAACCTACTACTAAATATTTTGACTGAAAAATACGTCATATATAATAGCATAAACATAATTTAGAAGCTATGAAAATACCCACATGAATATGATACAATTAGTATACGGTATGGCTTTTAATTGGTTAATTCTACATTTACGAACAGAATATAATAATCCAAAAAATGTTGTGAGTGTGTTTTCAAAATTGTTGAAAGAACTAGGCAGAGGTCATACATTACATTATAATATCAGTTCTCAGAAATTGCTGATGCTTTGTGAATAGATTGGTTATTGATATACATAAGTCACATGCGAACAGAAAAACGGGGTCGCGGACCAATTTTCTTTTCTCAATTATCATTTTACCCTGACTTACTGTCTCTTGTTATTGTTAGATAATGAACCAACGTGTCGAAAACGCGGCACTTTTTTAAAAACTAAAAGCGGGGCTCACAGACCTATTTGTGACAATTATTTAGGCGAGAATTACGTAAATGATTTTTTATGGCAGTTTCAGTTGTTTGCCCCAAGGTACCGTATTGTTCAAAACTACTTGATGTTTACTTACAGTAAGGTTCACCGGCGAGAAGTTACCTATTTATTATTTTCAAGAATTACCCTGTGCATGTATGCGCACAGTTCCAAGCAGGAGGTCACTAAAATCGCATACAGAACACATCCCGTTAAAGCGAATAATATGTAAATTGATTGTCAGTTTAATACCTGGTTCACACAGATTAGAAATATACTGTTGTAGGGCCAGTGAGAACACCGGTGTTATCATTGGTCCTACAACCGGGTATTTCGTTTGCGATCACAGGACATTAAAAACGCCGGTGTAATTTTATATTAGGCCTGTGTAGCACCCCCTCTGTAGTTAGATCCGTGTTTGAACATATTCGTACTCTACCACTACGGTTATTATTTTCAATTGCTCCCTTGAATCTTGACTTCAAAGGTTTTATCTTTTGACGGCACAGTTCTGCGGGTTTATCTCACCCTAATTCCTTGTCCTTTTGTACAATAATCATATAAACGGCTATCTGGGAGGTTCCGTGTACCAATCTAAAAATACTTTCCTCTTGTCAAATAGAAATCAGTAGCAGGACTTCATTATTATCCAATTATTTCCGAGACTACTCGTTCCACTGACCAGAGCGTATGTGTATCACTCGTCGTCATGTCGTTGCTATGGACGTAGACATGAATTCCCGATAGAGGGTGTTTGTGCCACTGTTTATGCCACTGTGCGTGTTCACACGAACTTTTGTTTAGAATTTAGGTCTGAGCTCGGACTCTGGTCAGAGAGTTTACGCCGGTGTAAAGTCCGCCATTTTTACAGCGGCGTAAACTGGCCACACGGTAAAAATAACACCGTCGTTAAATTTACGGCGGTGCTACAATGGCGTAAATGCCTGCGTGTGAACCAGGTATCCTCGGGGGCGGAGCTACGTCACGGACGTTCTACGTTGCTAAGACGAGCACCACTGTACCACGTATTTCTATGGGCTTTGTGCGCGCTGCTGTGGAACGCCGGTGGAGCCGGTGAAAATTCGAGAAAACAACACAAACTCAACTTTG